ACTTCTCCGGGTGCTTAGCTGTCGCTTCCCTGGTTCTTACCTGTGATCCAACTGGAACTTTCTCTTTCTCTAAAGGCTTATCTTTTAATTATGTGCATCTCTGTGTGGTTATGTGCATATGTGTGCAGGTGCCCCTGGAGGCCAGAGGCCTTAGATCCTCAGGAGATTGGAGTTGCAAGAGCTGAGAACCACCCTCATCTGCAGGAGCAGGAGGTACTTTTACCTCCAGTCTCTCCAGGCCCCATGATCCTCTCTCCGCAGTCTTGCAAATCCTGGGATGAAAGGCACGATCTGAAGTTCTCCAGAATTCTGCCCCTGGCCTTCTCTGCCTCTGTGTGCTCACAGGTTGTGGAGTATTAGTTTAAGGTGTGTTGCATCCCTTTGTGCTGTGGAATATTTGTTTAATGATGCAAAGATGTGTTGCATTTGTTTAATTCTGTGAGGCTGTGTTAGTTTGCCTGTCTAAGACACCTGATTGGTCTAAAAAAAAAAAAAAAAAGAGCTGAATGGCCAATAGCCAGGCAGGAATAGGAGGAGAAATCTGGGAAGAGAAGATCCAGGAGAAAGAGAAGGAGAGGAGGTGCACCCACATGGCAGCTCACAACTGTCTGTAACTCCAGTTCCAGGGGACCCGACACCCATGGCAAAACAACAATGTACATAAAGTAAAAATAAATAAATTAAAGCTGGCTAGAAACAAGCCAAGCTAAGGCCAGGCACTCATAAGAAAGAATAAGCCTCTGTATGATAAGTGGCAGGCTTCCCCAAAGAGCAAAGAATTAAAAAAAAAAACAAAAACAAAAAACTACACTCATGTCTGTGAGTACATGTTCTTTGGGATAAAATAGTCCCATCACTAAGTTCATCTTGTCCTTGGATAAACCCCATTTCCCAATGTTCCCTCTGAGAGGCCTTCCTCTATTTCTCCCGTGACATATTTCTCTCTTTCTTTCTGAAAATGTCTTAAGTAGCCCAAGCTGACCTTGAACTTGGTGTGTAGCTAAGGGTAACCTTGAATTTCTGATCCCACACACGCATCACTACATCCAGTCCGTGCAATGCCAGGGATAAGTTGAGAGACATGAAAAGATAATTTTGAGTTGGCAATGCAAATTAGAATAGAAAGAAACTTCAGTACAAAACTTTGGACTCACCGATATAAAAGAGAAAATGGAGTATTTTCTGAAATTTGTCAAACACAAATGGACTAGACATTCTTGATGTACTTATTGCCTGCATATATTGTATATACTCATTGTACATAGTGTTTCTTATGTTAGTTGTAGTCTTCCTTTTTGTAGTAGACAAAAAAGGGGAATTGTGGTGATACATTGTTTATGATTTAATAAAGCCCCTGGAGATCAAAGTGCAAAGCTATCTAGAGCCATAGAGTTAGGCAGTGGTGGTGCACACATTTAATCCCAGGACTGGGGAAACAGAGGCAGACAGATCTCTGTGAATTCAAGGCCACACTGAGCTATATGAAACTGATCCAATCTAAAAGAGAAACAGCTCACACAAAGGTGATTTCAGCATTTGGAATCATACTCCTTTAATCCCAGCACTAGGGAGGCAGAGTCAGGCGGATCTCTGAAAGTCCAAAACCATCCTGGGCTGCAGGATGGTGAGTCAGAGCTCACACCTTTAATCCCAGGATTGGAGAGGCATGAAAAGAAGAAGCAAAGGGTCTCATGTGAGATTTAGTTTCCAGACAGGGAAGGCATAGGATTGCAGCCTGAGGCTTGGTGGAGAGCAGTGCAGTCTGCATTGTACTCTGAGGATTCGTAGAGACAGGATCACCCCTTTCAGCCTGAGACAGAGGTGAAGCCAGCTGCTTTGCTTCTCTGATCATCAGCTGGAACCCTGATATCTGTCTCTGGGTTTTTATGTTCGTGTTACAGTCCTCTCTTCCTTTTCGAGTGAATTTTTCAGGCACACATTCAAACTCGACCAGACTAGTCTGCTGCCGTCGTTAACGAGAGACTGTGGGTTGCCCTCAGCACCCATCCTCTGCTCTTTCCAGCTTAGAGAACTATTAATTTTTATGCTGATTTATAGCAACTTGGAATGTAGGTTACATTACACATCCAGCCTTCCTTTGGTTAAGTGCCCTCATGTGAATGACTTCTGGCAAACGGCTGTAAGGGAAGCCTCCCCATCCCCCTTCCTCCAAGGAATTATATTTCAAGACAGGACCTTTGGTCTTCACTTGGCCCTGCTGGCTACTTGGAGGTGGAAGATTCCTTGTAGTGATAGCAAGCAACATGACTTGGGACAGATAGATGTCCCTAACAGGTTTCCAATGAGACACTTGCATCCACATGGCTTAATCCTCAGGACAGAAACCTAAGACTTCCTGTGTCAACATGACCTACCATTTCCATCATGGGAATTCTTGTTACTTAACACGATGAGAATCGGTGTTGGCTTCACAAGATTTATGTGGCATTCACTCTAGCACAAGATCCCCACTGTGGCAAATAAAAAATGGTGTTCTCCCTCACCCCCACCTCCCGGACATCACACTGTTCTCCTGGGCAAGCAGTTCACTCACCAAACGATCCTTTTCGCTCTCAGCGAGACTCAAAAGGGGCCTCATTCTGTCCATGGCTTAACCATTGCATCACCAACTCAGCTTAGTTCTATATGACTCCAGCCATGAGCTATGCCTTGAGTGAGCAGAGATTCTCAAACCTGGAAATCTCCCAACCAGGCACCTGAACCATGTGATGGGCTACGGGTGTTAGGGAGGTATAATTGCCTTTGCTCTGGTTCATCTTCGCGTTACTCAGGCGGTCATCTGAAGTGTTGACAGTTGGCTGATCACAGAATCAGTTACCTGTCTGTTCTGGGCCTCATTCACACAGGCCTCTGAGATATTACTGTCTCTCTCTGATCACAACACTTTTGCTGTTTGGGGTCATGGGCGGCCAAACGGGGTCACGGCACACTCCCCTCCTAGCCAGAGGGAGTCCTTCTCACAGAGGACAGGGAGTGAGAAGTCTGGGCTCATATGCAGAAAAACACAAGCCCCACAGCCATTCATCAGGATCTTGTAGGTTCTTGGCACCTGATCAATAACATGAATTTCAAAATAGTCAAATGGGCCGGGTGTGTGAACTACATGGCAAACTCTCTGCTTGGCCTGTGTGAAACTCGGGTTGAGCATCAGTGCCACAAAAGAAACAAAACCAAACCACGCCCTCTCTCAAATGTGCCATGTTTCACACCTAAAAAAAGTTTTTATTTGAAATGTTACTTTAGTAGACTCTGGTGAGATGGCTCAGCAGATTTGGTTTTTGTTTTGTTTTGTTTTTTCTGAGACAGAGTCTCACTATGTAGTTTTGGCTGGCCTGGAACTTGCTCCAGTTCCCAGAGACCCACCTGCTTTTGCCTATGATGGGACTGAAAGCATGCACCACCACTCCCATTGAGGACCAATCTTATTTTACTCCTGTTCTTATCCCTCCCTCTCTTCCTCTGGATTATTTTACAGCTACTCCTAGATATTATGTTATTTCAGATCAAAATATTTCAGTGTGTACCCCTGGAGGCATCCTTCTCTTTTCATTTTTAAAAATTTTTTCATTTCTTTTTATGGATATGGATGTTTTTGTCTGTATGTATGCATGTGGACCACAGGCATGCAGTCCCAGAGGAGGACATGGGTTCCCTTGGGACTGGAGTTACAGCTGGTTATGAGCAGCCATATAGGTACTGGGAATCAAATCCATGTCCTCTGGAAGAGCAGTCAGTGCAGTTAAGACCATAATTGTCTGGCTTAAATGAATTTCCCAATTCTTCTTAACCGACTAGACTTCTCATCTTTCTTTATAAATTACTAGATAAAGAATGTTTGTTTTTTATCCCTAAAGTCTGTGCTTTTCAGATTGTACCCTATGGTGTCACTTCATACCACCCTCTATTCTCTATTTCCTGTAAACTTGCGGTTGCATCTGTAGGTTAGTCAGAACCGTGAGCTCTGGACAAAGCCAGCCCATTAGGTGCTGCCATTCACCCCTACCAAAGGGCTCATTTTACCAATGTGTCTCTTCCAAATGGTCTTTCGAAGGTGAATGTGATCTCTACACAGGACACATCACCATCCAGTGTGAGTAACCTTGGGTAGCAAAGCTGGAAAATGGTGGTTTGAGTTGGAAAATAGCGTGATCGAGCAATGAATGATAGGCTTGTGTGGTGGGTAAACAGGCCCTGAAGGAAATTCCTGAACTCTTCTATGCAAAGACAACCAACCGCCCAGGGTGACTAATGTGAACGGAACAACAGTGACATTGATGGAGAAATTGTATGTTGCTTCTAAAACTAGCTTCGCAGTGTGGGTGGATGCTCCAGGTGTCGCTTATGGTCGCGTGTCCCTCTCCAGGACCCCTAAATGTCCCTGTGTGTGGCTCTTAGGTTTTGAAGTTGGAGGAGCTGGGAAGAAGGCGCACCCAGGACCCCACTGGGCCACCCCACAGCCCGAGACTCCCCGCCCGGTTTGCTCCATCCCCATTCCTAACCCAGAAGGCGGCCAGAGCACCTTAGGGGTGCAGGATGCTTCTGAGCCGTCAGGAGAAAAGGACCCTCATGGGGAAGCTCCAGACGGCGCAGGCGCGCACTATCCAAGCTGGAGGCCGGCTTAGCGGACGACCCTCGGCGGCCCCAGCGCCAGCTCCGCGGAGCGAGCCCAGCCGGGGTTCGCGTTCGAATTCTCCATGCGGTCGGCGGCCGATAATCGCGAGTCCCCGCCCACCGCCCTCGCCCCTCCCCTCCCCGTGACGCAAAAGGGGAGGAGCCTCTGGGCTCGCTTGGCAGTCAGGGCGGACTCCTTCCTGAGCTCCTCCTCCTACGCACGCGCAGATCGGGCACTCGCGCCGGCGCAGTTCGGCCCCAGCCGGGCGGGCGCCCCTCCCCCTCCCTAGCAACCGCCTCCCGCCCCCTCCCCCGCCCCTCGGGCTGGTGTGCGCACGCGCACCCCTTCCGGGGCTCGCCCCTCCCTCCCCGTCACCCGTAACAACCACTCGAGCCCTCGCCGCGCCCCTCGGCGCTCCCGCCCCGGCCCCCATCCCCGGAACCGGCGGTCGAGCGGCGGCAGCCGAGCCTGTGGCACGGCTCTCTCCCCGCGGAGCCGCCGGCATGAACGCATCCCGCCGCCCCGCGTCCCCGACCCGGTCCTTCTGATAAGAGGTAAGCGCGCGTCGTCGTGAAGGGCTAGGAGCGCGCCCGGGTCCCCGCCCCCGGCAGGGTCCTCTGCCGTGGCCACCGCGGCGCTCGCTCGCTCGCTCGCTCCGGGACGGAGCCGGCCGGGTCCCCGATCCGCCGCCGCCGCCGCCGCCCGGAGCCGGCCCGCCCCCTCCGTCCAGCCCCGGCCTGCAGGGAGGCGCTCCCCCGGGGCCGACCCTGGGCTGATTTCCAAACGCCAATTATCGTGCAGTAGAGGCAGCCCCGGCCTCCGGTGCCATTTGGCGGTGGTCACTCCGGATGCCCGCGCAGGGACTGGATCTGGACCAGGTCCCCCCCCTCCAAAACCGAGAACTGGCCCGAGTTGAGGGAGCTGGAGAGCAAGCTGGTCCTTCAGTGTAGTCACTTTGGGTAAGAGTTTCCTAAGACAGGCATCACGCCGTGAGTGCTTGCACCCTCTCCCCTGTCCGTCAGAACCTGGTACTCATCCTCCTTTTATTTGGGAGATACCGGAAAACTAATTTTCTCAATTAAGAAAAAAAGAAAACGTAAACGATTATTAGATTCCCCCATCGAGCGCCAGCATTGTAAGGTTTACGAGAGTGAATGGAACGCGGTCTCCGCGCTCCAGGACGCGTCCGCGCCTGAATCAGGATTAATGAAGGCTTGAGTTTGGAGAACTGAGGAGTTTGGCTCACGGCCTCACGGTTTGAAAGCTGGGGGTGGGTGTAAGACCATCTCACAGAGACGGAACCAGGAAAGGCGAACGGCATGCTTGAGGTCACCCAGAGTTTCTAGCCTTTGTAGTTTTCCAACTGTTGGAGGGTGGTTTTCCAGCATAACCTGCTCCTCCCGAGTGGTAGGCCGATAGCAGAGAAAGTTCCAGACCTGTTTAAAACGTGTAAGCATTGTACAAGTGCAGCTATATAGATTGCAGTTCTCTGAAATATATCAGCATAGGTTTTTTTTCCCCCCACAGCTGGAATTTGAGATGTTTAGGTACTCGATATTCGGTTTTGAACTTTTGAGTGTCTTTTTACCGTATTCAGTTAAAATAACATCCTTACCGATTGAGCCTAAGCAGGACTAGCGGGCTCACTGGGTTTTTCTTCTTTTTTTTTTTTCTTCTTCTTGTTTTTCTCTTTTAAGTAGGTGAGCATACCGTTCCAGATGACTGTAAAACACGAGGGTGTTTGCAGAGAAAGCCACCCTTGACAGTACTGGGGTGATTATGTATGCAAAGGAGGGTTTCTTGACCTCAGGCTTGAGCATGTAATTGATTACTTTGCAGAATCACAGCTTCCGGAGGCTGGAGGGATTTGGAGCCCCTTTAGCTGAAGCTGGGAGTCTTCCCTGCCTTTTGTAGACATTTGGAGCATGCGGTTAGGAAACAGGAAGCAACAAAGTTCCCTGTGAAGCTAGCCCTTGAGGAAGGAGTGTTCCATAATCTGAGAATAATTGAGAAACTTCCCCTTAACGTGTCACTATGTTTGTTTGGTTCCTTGTAGAAGATGTTCAAGAGAAAATAGTTAGAATAATTGAATGCTAGGATTTCACTGCTGTGGAGGACTAGATCTCCTGACTCAGGGATGCCGATGCAGGGTGTGTTTCCATCCTTCCCTGTGGTCCTTCTTTGCATTTTCTTAGTGCCATATTACTTACCTCCGGTCAGAATATTTTGGCATGTCATCTTTCGGTGTTTTTGTTTTGTGTGTGTGTGTGTGTGCGCGCGCGCGCGCGCGCGCGTGCGTGTGCCTAGGATTATGACCTGTGGCATAATCCGTGAGTTCAGATTCACCCCCCCCCCCCATAATGTGGTTATTTATTTTACACATGCTTTTATTTTTCAGGAGCAAGAAGATTGCTATTGAATTACAACCATGGTGCAAAAATACCAGTCCCCAGTGAGGGTGTATAAACACCCCTTCGAGTTAATTATGGCTGTAAGTACTTCACCTTTGAGTTCACTCTGGCTTCTTGTTAGGGTTAAACTTGGGTGCTGCACTGCCCTGCTGTCTGTGTCTGTTACTTGTGTCCAGACTCTTCCATGTTTTTTTTTTTTTTCTTTTAAACCAGACCTCTGAAACTGTAGGTCTGCATGTGGTGTGTGGCAATGTTTCTGGGGTGATTGTGAGCTTGCATCAGTCTCCCTTGGAGAACTCAGAAGTGGGATCCTGACCTAGCACTTCCTGTGATGCTTGTTTGGGAGAGCACTCTGGTCCTGAGGGAAGCCACCTCCTTGGGTCTCAGGACTCAGTTCTGTGTGATGGAGTTTTCCCTCCGTGTTAATAAGCAGGGGTGTTCAAACCAGAATTCTACAAATGAGGTAGCTAAGGTGTTGATTTTGTCATCTATCTGAATTGGGCTGACAAGCATTTTACTAGGTTAAGAAGAAGCCAAGCACTATTTTCAATCACTGGTAAATTACTGCAGAGCATTCCATGTCGTTTCTTTTGTGTTACATACTATGACATATGACATACTAGGGAGAGTGTATCTATCATGAAAATTACACACAGGGATGTACCTGTGCCAAGCTCAGGGCATGTGGAGCCCAGCAGGGAGATGAACTCTGCTCCCTTTTGGGGCCCGTTCCCATTTCTGTCAGAATGAGTGTCTCAGGCTGTCCTGGAACTCATGACCTTGCCTCGGGCTTCTCGGGCTGGGACTGTAGTTATGCACCGTTACCCCTGGCTGCTGCTATCCTTCCTACCCTCTGGTTGATTGTTAGCTGTTTCTGCTCTGTATGTGGAAAGGCTCAAGTGTTCCTGTTCTTGGAGCGTCTCCTGAGCAGTGTACTTTGAGATTTGTTAGATCAATAGTCTTGAAAAGCAAAATAAAAACTCAGATCCTCTCAAGGGAGCATTGCTTGCTTCTTTCCTGATTGAAGTATTATTTATGCACAGTGAAAGGCCTCATGCAGCTGTGCGGTTTAATCAGTTTTAGCAATAGTTGCCCACACCTGTCCAGGCAGAACGTTTGCGTCCTTTACCACAGACAGCTCCTTGCACATCCTTATCAGGTGTGAGCCTTGGTGGGTGGGGGCTTTGTATCCTAAAAATAGTTTTGTATTTCCCCTGATATTCTGTGTGAATGATTTGTGAGAAAGGTCCTTTTCTGTTGCATGCTGGCCTGGCTTTTGGTTGTATGGTGCAAGCCGATGCCGGCCCCCCTCCCCCCAGCTTGAAAGAGGTTTTGTTAGAGGACTAATGCACGTGATGTGATAGGAATCACATAGAAAGTTCAGGAATTCCTGCTGGGACAGACTGGAGCCTGGTGGTGGAGGGTGGCTCTTGGCAGCAGTCGGCTGTCCCTGGAACTTCTTTCTCCCCATGCCTCGCTCCCTCTGTTGGAGCCATTTTGTCCACCACCCACTACTGACTTTGTTTACCCTGTTTCCCTCTGTGGCATTTCTTGTTGCAACTTCAGGTTTCCAGTGGCCAGTTCTTGTCCCATTTCCTATGCCACATTCTAGCACGTTCTAGAGGGAGGCTGGGCCTGTCCTCCTCTTGGCCTGAGGTTGGGGTGTTCAGTGGGGAGTCACCTGCAGTGTTGAAGTCTGGGAGGAGGTGTTGGGCAGTCCCCGTGTGGTGAGGCATCAGCATGGGGCCAGCAGGTTTTGTTTGCCAAACTTGGTGTTTTAAAAAGCCTGATGTGGACTGGTGAGCTGGCTTAGCCTGAAGGCGCTTGCTGCTAAGCTCAGTGATCTGGGGTTGATACTGACCCACGTATTGGGAAGAGACAACGGATAAGCGTTGTCTTCTGACCTCCACTCTTCACTCTGGCATGCACACCCTTCTCCTAATGAGTGTAAACAAATAATTTTATTTTCAAAAGTCTTGCTGTGAGTCTGTGGTTGGAGGCAGAGCTTGGCCTCTTCTAACCCTGGATTTCATAAAAAGGTGCATGGATTGCTTAGTGTTCAGACTTCCTGATTTCCTTTACAGTTTTCAAAATTAGGAAGTTTGCTTTGCAAATTTTATGTATGACTTTTTCGTAAATTCAAATTCGTTACCACCCTCAGTTTTAAAAACAAGTCGCTTGTAATCGGCATTTGTTTTTGGCAGTGGCTTACTTCCTCCTGGATTGCTGATTTTTTTTTTTCTTTTTTTGGGGGGTTGGGTCTGAAAATAAAATATACTTCCTTCCTCCTCCCAGAATAGGATCGCCATTGCTCCTCCAGTTTTGTGCAGGATCACTTGCCCTTTCCTGGCTGTGATTTCGAGGTATACAAGCCTCGGCATTTTACTTTGTTTTGTTTACCTATTTATTTATTTATCTATCTATCTATCTATCTATTTATTATTTTTTTAAGACTGGGTTTCTCTGTGTAATAGCCCTGACTGTAAGGGTTCAGGCATTATGCTGGCCTGCCCCTGTCGCTTGGTAGAATGTACTCAGGCAGTACCCTGGTCAGCCTGGGCTTCGGTGGCTATGTATTCTGGATGCCAGTGCAAAGGACCCTTTAAAAGAAAGACCCCGCCACTTTCGCCCTCTCTCCTGCTCATTCCCGCTGCTCCCCTGGGAAAGACGGGGTTTTTCCTGTCTCCCTCTTCTGTCCTCTCTCTGTCTCTGTGTTTCCGTACTTTATTTTCTTACCTCGCCCTCAATAAAGTTTTCTGTATGAGTCACATCTACAGGTCTCTATTTCTGCATCTGCCCGCTATCCATCACCCACCCCGGGACCGAGATCCCCAGGGACCTGCCATCTGTGGTCCCATCCCATTATTCTTTATTCCTAAGCCAGGCTGTCCTATAACTCACTCTGCAGACCAGGCTGGCCTTGAACTCAAAGATCCGCATGCCTTAGCCTTCTGAGTGCTGGGATTAAAGGTGTGTGCCACCATGTCAAGCTACTTAATTATTTTATTTTTTATTAAGGCAAACAGTAGTATATTGTGTAACCCAGTTGCCATGAGAATCCGACTGTAGTTCATCAGAGGAGGGGGAGGGGGCGCTGAACCGGTGCATTGTAGTCTCATAGAAGGCTAGGAGGAAAGGAACTAACCAGTTACACCTTTGTTGCTGTGAAGCCAGAGTTCGTGGTTAGGATTGCCAAAAATTGTCAGGTGAACACTGCCTGGTACAGACAAGAGGCATGTATTTTAACTGCATTTCTATTTAATTAATGAAAGTTCACTATTGGCTTGAGCGTCAGTAACATGTAAACAATCTTGTTAAGGTTTCATTAGCTCATCTGAATTAAAAATGGTTTGTAAGCAAACTGAACGGAAGTGATGGTTTTGAGGGGCATTTGAGACTGTGAGGGGTTGAGTGAGGGGTCAGCATAGAAACGGCTGCGGAGATGGAGAAAGTGAGGGGACTCAATGGGGGAGATGAGACACTTGGGTTCGGGTCCTCTCCATCCATCACCCACGCTCCTCCTGATCATGTGCACTCTGACATAGTGCGTGAAGGTTCTGGTCCACGATGATGTCCACATCTTCAGGTTTCAGCCAGACACATTTCTGGGGGTGGCTTTGCCCTTCTTGCTTGGCTTCCTTGCCTGCACAAAGGGTTTATGGTCTCCTAGGGGGACCTGCGTGCTCTACAGATCAGGGGTCAGGACCAGGCAGAGGTTGATGAGCTGCGGGGACTGTCTTTCGTTTTGAAAATTCTAGGACAAAAGGCAAGTTTTAAAACTCAGGCAGGTGTGGCAGTGTGTGGTGAATCTCACATTCAGCCTGGGCTGGGTCACAGAGTGAGACCCTGACTCAGAAATAAGACAAAACCCAGAGAGTTGTAGGAACTTCCCCCGTGTTAAAGACCTGGCTGGATGTGAGAGGGGAATTCAGAGAGGCCGTGGCTGAGAGCTCTGCTGTTTTTTCTTTCAAGGACAGCTGTCCCTTGGACAGTTGAGACGGGTGATGGAAGGTTGCTGATGGCTTCTGCCCACCCAGCACTCACAGCTGTCCAGTCCTGCTCCCGCCCTGGCCTCCCCGTTCCCTCCTGTCCATACGGAGACAGCTTGCCACAGAGCCGCCTCCCCCATGCCATGTGCCTTTGGGTCATACAGTTTGCCCCCCTGTCTCTCAACCCCAGCACATGCCCAGCCTGTGCCCTTGTTCCTTTAGTGGTGGCCCACTCATGCATTCATTCCCCCTCAGGCTCTGAGCCCCCAGGGCGCCCTGTGGACCCGCCGTGTGGGTTCTGAGGTGATTTGCTGCTGCCTGCATCCGGCCCTTTAAGATCTCTGTGTTCTGGCCTGGTCTGTGAGCCTGGTGCCTCTGCCCCTCTGTATCTTTTTATATTCCTTTGCCTCACATGCCTGCCTTTCCCATCTGTCTCTTCAGATCTTGTTCAGCATGTCCTGCCCTGCTTCCCTGTTGCCTCTCAAGGCATGCCTCATGTTCCCTTCCCCCGGTCTCCCCCCCCCCCTTCACTGCTGGGGGATGATCCCAGGACCTCACGCATCCCGGGCACGTGCCTCACTGCTGAGTCTCACGCGCAACACTTCCGACTTGTTCTTAGTATTATGTCAGCCAGCGCTGGGTACTTGGCTTATGATTGCATTTGCTTTTCAGAGGTGCTGAGTGCTCCTCAGAGCACTCAGCCTGTTGTTTCCCTTGGTCTGAAAGTGTGCAGTTATGGGAGGCCTGAGAGCAGATTTATGCCTGTCTACCTGAATCCCGAGGGCGAGGCCCTGTCTGGGTTTGGTGGGAACCCTGGTCTGACCTGCAGCTGGGACCCTGTTGTCATGGGGCTCATGTTGTCTTTCTCTGTGAGAAGGAAGCAGTGTCCGGGGATTCCCCCAGAGAAAGCCCCTCCGGGAAGATGCAGAGCGGCACTCGTGTCCTGTGCAGTGTGCGGAGTGTTTGGTGCGCGTGGAGCAGCAGGAAGTGCTCGCTGCGTAGCGGAAGGACAGGAAGGTGCTTGCCACTGTGGTTGCTAACTGAGTAGACCACCGGCCAGATGCACTGCTGTCACCCTGTTTCTCCCTTGG